TGCTTCATAATTTTGTTAGGCCCAGGTAGCCTCACCGGGAGCAAGTGCAGGCTCCTGGGAATGAACTCATAAGAGTCTTCCTAATGGCTCCCACTGTCCCTTGATTTTCAGGAGCAGTGAMGTCTACTCTTGCTTCATACCTCATCGCCCTGTTGTTTGGCCTCAAGATCCTACTGGCCGTCAGTGTCTCTGCCGTCTATGTCCACAGGAAGCAGAAGTCCTGACTGTAAGTCCCCAGGAGGGAGGGTGGAGCACAGGCTGCTGCAGAGGGGGCAGGGCCAGGGGGAGTGCAGCCCACCTGTGCACAGCTGCAGGGTCAGTGGGTCTAGAGAACCAGGCACACACCCCTCAGAACCCTCAGGCTCTCAGGCAACTTCTGTGGGGTTTCAAGCTCCCAGGAGGTATGTGGGGTGTGCAGGAGATGAGGAGATCAAGGGTTGGCAATCATTGTCCACTTAGTCCTAGGAGCGCAAGAGATGATGGGCCAAGGGTGTACAAAGAGATGCAGCAGAATGGGTGTGTCCCTTGGAGGCCACCTCTATATAAGTCCAATAGTTAAATGYTGGGCCTCCATGTGCAGGAAGATTCTACCATACAGAGCAATGTTGAGAAGACTAGGTGGGCTGCACTCAGGGTGCTCATTTCTGACCCTCATTGTGGCCCACTGCAGGGAGAGGGAAGGGGATTAAGAACGCAGGAGAGACTCAGAGTTCTAACCTGAGGCTGTTGGTCCACTCACCACAGGCATCCCGGGAGGGCCACACCAGGACCTCCTAGCTCTAAGGAGACTCTCATGAATCGCCAGCAGATACCTAAATGTGGACATGTTTCCCACAGATCCTTCATCACTCCCTGCTACCTGGGACCCTCAGTCTCTGCCACCTTCTTCCTGCTCCACGGTGCTGAGCCTGAGAGAAGGAGCTGCCCAGAAGCCTCTGTAGTCTCTGCTCCAAATACCTCCCCAAAGGACACCAGCCCACAGGCCCTTGTTGAACCTCTGACCAGTCCTTGATGCCCCATGGCTGAGTCTGCACTCATGGTCCTGAGCAGGGCCCTTGGACGTGCCTCTGGATGGCAACTCATGACGCCTCCCCAGAATGTGACCAGCAAGCCCCACCCGACCACAACAGGATGGCTCTCCTACATTGCCTTGGTCTTGGCCATCAAGCACCCCTAGTCCTCACTCTCAAGAGTCATTCAGCCATCTTTTTCCTGCCTACCCCTCCTCACCAGCCTTGTTGAGGTTCTCAAATGAAACTCGTTCTGCTTTAATAAGGAAAAATCATTCTCCTTCCTCTTTACCTAAGTGTCCTATGCCTTAAACTCAAGAAAAAAGAAAAAGGTTCTTCTTAACCTGAGAGACTTTCTTCCTTATCACTTATGAGCAACACTATTGTCYGGGATAAAGGCAGTCTTGTCTCTCCATGGAAGAGCAGGATTGTAAAAATGACCATGMAAACTGAAACCAAAATCCTGGGAAGATATTTCCATCGTGATCATGAAAAATAATCATGGTCCTTCCAACTTTGCAGCGTTTGTCAAAATATGAAACACACTCAAAATATCAGTTAAATGTAACTTTAAACATATAGRGAAACATAAACAATAATAAATGGGGCCTAGTGCACACTCATTTGAAACATAGAAACACTGAGCGTTAGTGTTTTGTACCTTAGTAAAAACTTATCCAGAGGATGGTCAACATGCTGGCCTTGTTCTTCTTTATTTGAGTATGCAAAGCAAGCACCTTTTCTACCTTGGTGAATTACCAGCCCACTTCAATACCATTGTCTTTTGGGTCACCACCACTCCCCTGGTATATATGGGTAATGTCACCTTCAGAAAGTTCGTCTATCTGCAAAGGAAAGTCCCCATACAAGATCCATGTCCACACACCACAGCCAGCTGCTTCTGTTCCATTTGTGCCCAGGTTAACATCATTTCCATAACTGTCACCTCTCCTGTCCTCACTGTGCTTTTTGCTGTGTTGATTAGTATTTTAATATAGAAGGGATCAAAGAGGAAATGAGAGTAGAAATGAAGAAATCCTTAGAAGCAAATTCGAACAGAGATACAACATATCTAAATCTCTAAGACACTATGAAAGCAGCTCTAATAGGAAAATCTAAATCATTGAGTGCCTACCTGAATGACATAAAGAGATATCAAATAAATAAGGTTATACTCTAACTCAAGGCCTTAGGATAGGAAGAACAAACTGATTCAGAAAGAGTAGAGCATAGGAAATCATTAAGATCAGAGCAGAAATTATTGCAACTGAGAATGGAAAACAACACAGAGGATCAATGCCAGAAGGAGCTGGTTCTTTAAAAAGTTAAATAAGATTGAAAATCCCTCAGCCAAATGACCACAGAAAGAGAGGAAACACCCAAATATATCAAATTAGAGATTTAAAAGGAAACATCACTGGAAACACTTCTGAAATCCAGAGRAAGTCTGGACACTATGTGCAAAATTCAGACACAAAAAAGTTAGGAAATTTAGAAAACATTGATGAATCCCTAGACACATGTGACCTGCCCAGATTGAGCCCAAAAGATATAGAAAACCTAAACAGAGCAGTATCAGGAGTGAAATTCAAACAGCAAGTAAAAGTCTTCCAACAAAGAACAGACAAGGACCACAGACATCATCAGTTAAGTTGTACCACACCTTTAAAGAATAACTAACACCAGTCCTTCTCTAAATGTGCCATGAAATTAAAAGGGAAGGAACACTCCCAAATGCACTCTATGAAGCTAGTAGAATCTTTATGTGAAAACCAGACTGAGACACACAGAGTGAACTTCAGGCTAACATCACTGATGGATGTAGAGGAAAAAATACTTAATGAGATATTACCAACCTGCATGAAAAACACAGCAAGATGCTAATACAGCATGATCAATGGGCTTCATCTCAGGGAGGCTAGGTTCATTCAATATTCACAAATCAATAACTGTTGTTCACCACTTAGAATTATGGACAGGAATCACAGAACCATCTCAATAGATGCAGAAAAGATCTTTGAACATCAATTCATGATTAAAATGCTGAATAAGGTTAGGATGGAAGAATCCTACCTCAGCATTGTCAAAGCTGTGAATGACAAACGTCAACCAACATCACACCAAATGGAGAAAATTTAAATGCATTTTCTCTAAAATAAAGAATAAGTCAAGGTTGTCCACTCTCCCCACTCCTGACGGAAATTAAGGGATACAAATAGGAAGAGAACAAGCCATCTACTTGGAAATGACATGATGCTGTCATTACAGGATGCCCAAAATTCCATCAGAAGATTTCCAGAGATATAAATCAATTCAGCAAAGTAGAAGGACACAAGATCTACCCCATGAACCAATTGTTTTCCTGTCCTCTAACAGTGATTCAGCCAAGKAAGATATCATCAAAGTCATCACATTCACACACACACACACACTCAAAAAAATTGAAGTTAATGGGAACTAATCTATTCAAGGATTAAAAGAGCTCTACATAAATATTGAAGAACACTGAAAATGACATTGAAGAAAAGTGTAGAAGATGGAGAAACYTCCCATGTTTTCTCATAGGCAGAACTAATATCTCAAAATGGCCATACTACAAGAGCAATGGACATACTACCAAGATTCAATGCAATCACCCTCGAAAAGACAATTACATCCCTCCCAGGATTAGAAAAAACAATTCTTGAATTCATTCGGAACAATAAAAGACATGAAATACCAAGAGCCATACTGAGCAAGAAAAATTATGCAGGGACCATCAGCATACCTGATCTGAAATTATAGCACAGAACCATAGTAACAAAACCAGCCTGGCATTGGCTACAAATAGACATGAAGACCCGTGTAAAGAGATATTAAGGCACAGAGACAAACCCACACACTCACAGCTGTCTAGGGATACTTGACAAGAGGGATAAAAATACACCTTGTAAAAAGGACTCTTTAACAAATGGTACTGGGAAAACTGGATGCTAGATGTATGTAGAAAAAGGAAAATAGGTCTGTGTCTCTCACCTTCACAAAAGTCAAATCACAATGGATCAAAGACTTGGGAATTAGTCCAGAAACCTTGCAAATGCGTAAAGAAAACATAGGGCCATTGTTATAGGTGCTGGCCACAACTTCTTTAAAGAAACCCCAAGAGCAAGAAGGAAAATCAAGAGTCAATAACTGGGATGCCGTCAGTTACCATCTTGGGCACAGCAAAGGAAATAATGAAGGGAATAAATAAAGAGCCTGCAGAAGGGAGAGGAGCTTTGCCAGCCACTCCCCCAACAGGGGACTAGTACTCAGAATATGTGAAGAACTCCAACACATTCAACCTAAATCGTAATAATAACAATAACCCAAAAAACAAATGGGCCAAAAATCTATACAGAAACTTCTCAAAAGAGAAAACACAAATAGCCAATATGTACATGAAAAAATGTTCAACATTCCTTGTCATCAGGGAAATGCAAATCAAAACTTCAATATGGTTTCATCTCATTCCAGTCAGTCAGCAAATACCAAGATTAGAAATAAAAACAAGTGTTGGTGAGGATGCAGGTGAGATGTTCACTGTACATTGTTGGTGGACCAGCAAATGAAGGCCACCACTAGAAAAGCAGAAAGGAGAATCCTTAAATAACTAGGCATGGAACCACCACATGACCCAGCCATGCCACTCCTTGGTACTTTTCCAAAACATCTAAAATTAGCATCCTACAAGGATGGAGCCAGATAAAGGTTTATAGTAGCACAATTCACAATAGCTAAATCATGGAATCAACAAGGTGCATGTCAATAGATAAAGAGATTTAAAAACTGTGCTTTTTTGGAACTGTGCTCCTGGTTTCTACTTCACAATTTTGGAGGAAATTGGTTGTCACTCTGTCACAGTCACTTCCTCTTGAAACAAGGGACACAGAGTGTCAGTTCTCTCCATAGAGCAGAGTCGGGGATCTCCCAGCACAGACACTGGGACAGGAGGCACCTCAGGGCTCCACCATGTCTGCACCTGCCTCCTGGCCCCAGCGTCCCTGTCCTATCCTGCTGCTGACCCTCCTGCTGGGACTCACAGGTGAGTGAGCACTGTCTGGGGAGAGTCCTCTGTCCGGGCCCCTGGGTCAGCTCTGCCCATGGACTCCCAGGGACTCAGGACAAACCCAGGCTCTGCCATGGAGGCTGGGACAGGGCATTATCTGGAGCCCATACCAAGGGTCCTGAGCTCTGTCTCTGGGAGGCCTCCCCTGCAGCTGGGGCCAGAGGCGTCACATCAGCTGATGCTTCACACAGCAGTGACAAGAATCACTTGTATATTACAATCCTTCAGCTCACAGAACATCTCTCCAGAGCATCAGTGTGTACATCCTGATAACTTCTGAGATAGCCAAGGGGAGGTGATCTCCTCAAGGCCATGGAATAAGCCATCTCCCCACCTCCACCATAGTCTGGCCTTGAGGTACATGGCTTTGTCCCATCGTACCTTCCCCTCCATTGATTTGGTGCCTCCCACAGGCTCAATATCCATGATACAACTAATGCTGAATTGAAACCCTAAGACTATGAGCTCATCCTGCTTTTCTCTTCATAAGTGGATTTGTCTCAGGTATTTCTTACAGTAATGATAAGTTGACTGACGGTGGCTATGACGATGTCATACCATTATCTACATCATAGGGGGCCAGTGGAAGGCTCTGGGCCTCAGGAAATCTACTGAGTAATGACTTTCAATTTCTTGAACACTCACCATGGGCCAGACTCTCTGAAATGCTGTACAGCTCATCACGTGACCATGACACCCACAGCAGACACCCTGGTCACCCACCTTACAGCTGAGAAGCAGAAGCACCAGGAGCTCCGTGGTCATTCAGGGGCAGTGCGAGGGCTGGGGTCTGGGTGCAGATGCTCTGATCTGGAGCTCGTKGTTCACCCACCATCTTCTCAAACTCTGTGGCCCTGACCCTACATGTGGCCAGACATTGTTTTAATGGTGTGTAGCACAACATCATGGGGTCAGATGTCTGCTTCCAAAGACCTGGGCATCTCATGCTCATCATGGGGGGACTAGAGACTCCAAGAGGACTGGGATCTTTCTTTCCTTTCTTCTTTTTTTGAAGGCAATAAGAAGGGTGCCTGGTTTAAATTTGTATATGAAATTAGTAAACGATGCACATGTGGACTGATT